TGTATATAATATATGTGTATGTACATATAATATAGGCGGTGATGATGCAGAAGTTTTTAGAAACAGAAAATCATATTTTTCCTTGAATGTACAAGTTGTGGTAAATGCAGATAATGAAATAATGGATATTGTAGCTCGATGGCCCGGCTCTGTTCATGATTCAACAATATTTCAAAATAGTAATTTAAGAATGCTTTTTGAAACAAATCACTTTCACAATTGCTTATTATTGGGTATGTGATTGTAATTATAGATACTCTATATGATTTTAATTATATAAAATATATGATTTATGTTATTATATGAGCTTTTTTATTTTAGCATAATTGATTATTTATTTATACAGTTATAATGAATCTTTCTGTTTTAGGTGATAGTGCATATCCTACAAGACCTTACTTATTTACACCATTATTAAATCCTCAAGGCCCTGCTCAACAATTATATAATGAATCACATATCAGAACAAGAACTAGAGTAGGACACACGTTTGGTCTTTGGAAACGTAGATTTCCAATATTAGCATATGGATCTCGTTTACAAATCAATACAGTAATGACAATAATCATAGCAACTGCCGTGTTGCATAATATAGCACAACGTCAAGGGGAAGATATTCCTCCACCTGTTGATGAAGAACTTAATATTTTAGAAATTATTGCACATGATCGTGTACCAGTTCCTCCTCATCATCAAAATGACGCAGGCAATGCAGGTCTACTAGCACGTAATATATTAATTAATGAATATTTTAATAATTTGCAAGAAAATATGTGATAAAATATTAATTTATTTAAAATGATTTATTCGTAATGAAGAACACAATAAAAAATCTTACAGACTAATTTTGTAACATTACATTATTCTTTTTGTAAACATTTTTTTACATTTGTCATAATATATACTAATATTTGTATTTAGGAATTTTCTTTTAATATCACTTTAATATCCTTACATCTTATCCTTAAGTTTAAATATATATTTTATAGTCCAACAATCCGATATATTACCCTTTATAATACATAAAAAATATTTAAAACTTAAAATGTATCTTTTATATTTAATATTACTCTTCAGTCTTTAATATCATTTTTTTTAGTTTTTTTTTTATATGATGTACTTTAGATTCAACTATTTTTATGGACTATATTAGTTTAATCTTATATTCATAATCGTCTTAAATACAACTTTAAGTTATTGTATGATCATTTTATTAAATAAAATCCTTAAAACTCTCTATTCATGACTAGAAATTCTATATCAGAGTTCGGCCACGAATGGTTTTGTCAAAATCTTATGAAAGAAGATATATATAATTTCTCCTTGTCAATACTTATATGTATATACATATGTATATACGTACTCTCTTGCTGTAATTTACACTATTTCATTGTATAACTTTAATTAAGATAATAGAGCTAGACAGTGTAAATTAGCGCGAGAGTAAATAAAGTAAAAATAAAAAATAAAACTAAAAAAAATTTTTTTAATTGTTAAGACGATCTTGAACTTAAGATCGAACTATGAATACTAGCTTATATCTTAGTTTGAATCTTTTAATTAATATTAAAAGGTTGTTGAAGAAAAGAACTTGCTTGCAATTTTTTAACTGTGCCTTTTTAATTTCTATGTTTAATTCTAAACTATTTTTCCTTAATTCAAATTCAATTTCAGTTTGTTTTTGTTTAACTTCCATTTCTTCCTTTTGAGCTATTAATTGCAAGTTTGCAAGCTCCATTTTAATATCTGCTAAATCACTATATTGTTTAGAAATGTGAGAACTGTTAAAAGCCATTATCGATGGCCTACGTCGTCGAGTTATAGTTTTAGACAGGGATGGGAAAGTTACTTTGTAAAAGTAATTAATTACAGTTACAGTTTTTCTGTTTCAAAAAGTAATTAATTACCGTTACAAGTTATTGACTCTGAAAAGTAAATCGTTACAGTTACAGTTACTGAAAAAGTAACTTTAAGTTACTTTTAAGTTACTTTTTTCATCGGAATTTTTACTAGTAGTATCGATACCATTAGGGCTGTATTCAGAAACGTTATACAACTCTATCTTCATGCATCGTTTTACCCTTGTTTTTCACCTAATATTAAACAAGGATGATACACGGGGTCATCAGAGTAATGCAGCCTAGGACAATTAAAACAAAAGACTGACTTACAC